GAAAAAGGCGTAAAATCGATACAAAACCTAAAGGTCAAATTGTGCCCGAGTTCGAATCCACTCACTCGGGACTATCTTGTAAAAACCTAAGGTTTGGATCTTCCCCGAGTTCGAATCCACTCACTCGGGGACTACCTTGAAAAGACCTAAGGGTTGAATCTTCCCCGAGTTCAAATGCACTCACTCGGGGACTGTTTTGTAAAACCCTGAGGTTTGGATTTCTGCCCGAGTTCGATTCCACTCACTCGGGGACTATCTTGTAAAAACCTAAGGTTTGGATTTTCTGCCCGAGTTCGATTCCACTAACTCGGGGACTATCTTGTGAAAATCTAAGGTTTGAATTTTGCCCGAGTTCGAATACACTCACTCAGGGACTAAGGTTTGAACTACACCCGAGCTCGACCAAACTCACTCGGGGACTGCTTCGAAAAAACCTAAGGGTTAGACTTCACCCGGGCTCGAATAAACTCGTTCGAGGACTATATTGAAAAACGTAAGGTTTGATTTTTTACCCGAGCTCGAATCAACTCACTCGGGGACTGCCTTGAGAAAGCCCAAAGGTCGAAGTTCACCTGAGTTCGAATACATTCACTCGGAGACTACTTCGAAAAACATAAAGGACTACCATCGTTCCAAAAAGATAAAAGGCAAAGTAATAACAAGATTGAAAAAGGAGCAATAGATGGCAAAGGGCAATGTTTCATAAAAAAGCTCGCTACCGGAGCAATTACATAAGAGGGGAAAACAAAACAAAGCCTAGCCTATTCCCGGAGTCAATCAGAGCCATCCTCGAATTCTTCGGGGAACGTCGCCCTTCTCGAAGCGTCCTCAGCTTCGGCGGCTTTGGTGACGTCCGATGCAAGATCGAAACCGCGACGTTGGAGTTCGGTAAGAACGTCAAGCCGGGCCTGACACTTCGCATATTCGGCTAACATTCTTGACTGCTGGTTGGCCGCATCAGCATCGGCCCTATATTGGGCCACCAGATCGTTGGCAGTCTCCTCGGCTTGGGAAACTTTAGCCTCAGCTTCCCGAAATCGATTGGTCCACAGCTCAATTTCAAGGACTCGAGCCTCATTGGCCAACGTCAAGTCCGCAACCTCTTTCCGAAGGGAAGTCTTCTCCGACTCCAACTGTTGCACCCGGGCTTCCAGTTCGGCTTTGTTCTCATCAAGTTCGGCTCTGCTCTCGTCAAGCTCGGCCTTAACCCGATTAAGCTCGGCTTGCGCCCCCCTTAGCTTACAACCAAGCTCTTTCTTCGCTTCCTCCAGCCGGGTAGCACAGGACGCGTGCTCTTTGTTCAAAAGGTCCAATCCGGCCCGGCTTTCTAGCAGCTTTTCTTCAAGGACCCGGCGCCCCTCTCGCTCCGCCTCCATTTTGTCCCTGATCCGGAGGAACATCGAGTGATATAGCACCGATGCCTGCAAAGAAAAAGTCTAAAGAGTCAGTACTGAATCACAAGGCAAAAATATTAGAAATAAGGAAGAAGCAAGTACCTTGAGCTGCGCCTGTTGGGCTTCGTTGAAAAGGCATGTCCAATCTACAGCCTCGGTTGCAGCCCGGTCTTCCTCCGTCATCAGGTGATGAAGATAGCTTGCAACCCCGACCGGAGGCCCCAGAGCCCGGACGTCTTTGGGGATAGCAAAAGTTACTATCCTGTTACAGTCCGGGTCCAAGCTCGGAGCTGGAAACCTATCGACAAGCTTGTTGACGGCCGAAGTCCCACTTGATTCGGCCTGAGGGTCTTTCCGGGGGGTTTCGAGCCCGAAAGTGTTGGCGGAGGGTACCCCATCAAAAAAGGTCTCGAAGCTACCTCCCATCATCGGGATGTCGTCCGGCAGCTGCCCCCAAGTCGAGGAAGACGGGGGGGACGTAACCGGGTGATCGGTACCCGGGGACACCCGCGCAGGGGCCGAGGGTCCACTAGCATCCTCAACCCTCACGTCCTCGGGAGGAGCCTCAGCTGGATCGACCACCGGCTCAGGGTCCGGTCGAATGGGTCGATGGCGGACGAGCTCCGGCTGCTCCTCATCGTCATCCTCTTTGTCGTCCTCCTCCTCGGAGGACAAGACGATTTGGCTTTTTAGTTTGCGGGCGGCCCTTTTTGTCCGCTTAATCTTCCTTTGGGGCTCGTCCGTACCGGACTCCCCGGGCCTTTTATTTTCTCCCGGAACCGGAAGGGGGCATAGTATTGAAGACCTCATCTCCGCGTCCTTGGGCAAGCCTGCAAAACACGAGGGTTATGATGCATTCCCGATATACAAGAAAAAATGCGTTAACTTGGTGCGCTACCGGTCAAAAAGAAGGCTTACCATGGTTTTTCGCCTCCCACCGACCTTTGGAGATTTCCTTCCAGTTTCGCTCCGAATATGGCCGCTGGGCCACTATCTTGTTTACCCAGCCGGCCAAATCCTTGATGGCAGCTGGAGTTTGGGTCACCGCTGCACAAGAAAAGGGGGTTTCAGGAAGAAGTTGAGGAAAACACACTCTAAAAGATGAACAGTGAGAAAATACTTACGTTTGAGGTTCCACCTCTCCGGAAATGGCATGCAATCAGCCGGAATCAGGTCGGACGTCCTGATCCGGACAAACCTGCTCATCCAGCCTCGATCTTTGTCTTCATCGATGCTGGAGAATGGGGGTTTGCTAGCCCGGCGGGCCAGTTTTATTAATCCCCCTCGAAATATTCGAGGGCTGTATAATCGAAGAAGATGGTCGAGGGTAAAGGGAAAGTCGCCCTCGACTCTCTCGACAAAAAACCGAAAGAGATATACGATCCGCCACATCGAGGGGTGGACCTGACCTAAGGTCACCTCGTACCGCCGGCAGAACTCCACTATAATGGGTTCTAAGGGGCCTAAGGTGAAGGGATATGTATATACACTAAGATACCCTTCAACGTGAGTCATAATCGACTCGTCACGGGAAGGGGCGACCAGGTCTTTCCCTTCCCATCTACATTCAGCCCTCACCCGGTCTAGGCAACCGGGAGTGATTAGGCTGATATACTCCGATGCCGGTTCGCCGCGGCCCGGGAACGATGATGGGTTTTCAACCTGGAAGTCGGCAGATACCGAGCAACCAGTCGGTGTAAAAGCTTTCAATGGGGGTTCTGGCGCAGGTTCATCAGATCTAGCGGGGCTCGCGGCCGAGCTTGGTCTAGAAGGAACACTTTGTGAAGTTTTCGCCATTTCTTGAAGCTTTACGAAGAGATGAAAAGAAAATACAACCAACGCAAAATTTGAGAAAGATAAGAAATGTTGAACCTAGAAGGGTCGTTTATACTTTTCCCATGAGGCGGTGGCACGAATCGCGAAGTTATAGACACGAAGCGACAGATAATTAAGAGAAGCATTAAATGCCTGCAGCAGACGTGGTCAGAGCACTCGATGGCTTTTTCACCTGGCGTATGGCCATACGTCACGGGCATCACGTCACCGATCATATCGTTTATTATCGTTACTCTCTAATAAACGAGGGGACTATCTGTATTGGGTGATACCCTTTTTGCTTGAGCCCGACCGGGTTGGGTCCGGTCCGGGGCAAGTCGGGGCCATCGAACCCGACCTGGATGCAAGGTAGAACGACGGCCACGTCTACAACCGAGGTCGAGTCATTTCGAGACCGTTGCAGAGCTCGATATGAGTCACCACCGGATGGAGAAACACACAAGGTCGGAAGCCGGACTCGTAACGGATAACCAAGCGTCGCCGGATATCTCGCCCAAACGTGATTTTCTCAACCACTTCAGGCCATTAAGGCGTAATTACAGGGAGCCACGATGTAATTAATTTACCTACCTTATTTTTACCCTTAATCAGAATGTATAAAAGGGGAGAAGACCCCATAAAGAGGGCATCGGAAACCATTACACTACAGTACCATCTCTCTCAATTCTTGTACGCTATCAAGCACAATTGTTCTAAGCAATATTATATTCTGCGATTATTTACTTTAACAGCAATTGTTGAGTCTTTATCTTTTATTTTCCTCAATCCAAACCTTTTGTATCTTTTAGTTCACGGATCCTTAAAACCCCATATAAATTCAATTGTTATCCGGATTCTAGGGTAAACATTATTATTATTATTATTGTCGTTGTTGTTAGTATTATTATTATCCTTTCTCTCGTTTTATTTACATATTTTTTACTGGTGTCTTATCTTTATATCTAGCTAATGTTAGTCCAGTTCAATTTATCCATAAAATAACCTTTTATTTGTAATTCTTTTTAAAAGAATTTTCTTGAGTAAGCATGAGACCTAATAATGGTGATAATAAATAACTTATATAACATATTATATTATGTAGTGTATATCTATAACTCCAAAAAAAGTTACTCCCACTATTCTTCTCTATTAACCTTCCACTACTTCTTATAATTATTGTTGTAACTCACACACCTCCATAAACCTTTCATGATGTTCCTCCATGATCTCAATAGTTAATACATGTTCATGACATCCCTTTGTATTACCTAAATATCATCCTATAAATAGAGGCTCTGGGCATCACATTGTGCATACTTAAATATATGGAAGAAATAAGAATCTCTCCGCTCTTTTTCTCTACAATCTTATCTATTTTCTTATTCTATATTGTTACTTTGAACTAAGTTTCTTAACATAACTTTAGTTTCTTGATTGTAAAATTTATCCTGTTAAAGTATATATAGATAATCCAGCCAAAAGTTTATTAGTGAATCTCTATTTATTTGATGAAAAAAATCTCTATTTATTTAATTTTTCAATAATATTTAATTTAAGAAATGTGAAAAAAGTAACACTAAAAATGAAAACGCTTACCGGAAGTTATATATTTCAGATATTGTGACCATTTTATTATTAATGTGTAGTGTTGTGATTTTTAAGTGATAAAATAAAGTTGTATAATATTTGTGAAAAAACCTTATAATTATACGATTATTTTTAAAATTTACCCTAAAACTCGTAGATACCAAAAGACAAAACAAAATAAAAAGGGAGTAAGAGAGAAAAGAAAGGAAAAGAGTAAATAGCGCAAAACCGGGATTGCATTTCTCCTAAATCCTTCTGAGGAAAACAATATCACCGTCTCTTCTTTGTTCAAACTTCAAAACCCTTCTACTCTCCTTCCCTTAACGGTACGATGACCGACCGTGACCGAACTCGATACCGTGACCGTGAAATTGACCGGGATCGTGACCGTGACCGGGAGAGAGAGCGAGAGAGGGACAAGGATAGAGACAGAGATCGGAAACGTGACCGGGATGACCGTGACCGGAGAGACCGTGAACGTTCTTACACCCCTGACCATATCAAAACCAGTCGACACACTCGCTCCCGAACTCGTTCCCCTTCCACTGACCGTCACCGCCACCGTCAACGTTCTACTTCCCGCTCCCGTTCTCCCACTGACCGCCGCAACCGCCACCGTCACCACCGTCCCTCAGCGGAAAGTCCTCCTAGAAAGAGACGAAAAGATGATGGCGATAGGGATAAGGATAGGGATAGAGATACGCGGAGAGAGGTTGAGGATTTTGTGGACGGGATAGCGAAAGAACAGAAGAAGCAGAAGAAGAAGGAGGAGGAGGGGAGTGGTGATGAAGAGATGATGGATGAGGAAGAGATTGAGATGATGAAGAAATTGGGGATACCGGTAGGGTTTGATTCGACAAAGGGGAAGCCAGTGGCAGGGAATGATGTGGGTGCTGTAAGGAAAGTCACTAAACGGCAGCCTCGACAGTACATGAATAGGCGTGGTGGCTTCAATAGGCCCTTGCCTGCTGAGTGCAACCGCTGATTTTCCCAGGTTTTTGTTCTTATTGTCTCTATAAACGAAGAGTTTAGCTCCTCCTTTTTTTTTGTGTGTGCTTAAGGGGGGAGGGGGGTTAGTTTTGAAATTTTAAGTAGTAGAGGGTTGATTTATGTATATTTAGTGTTTGGTTGAGCTTCTTAATGGAATTATGATGTTATCCGTCAAATAATGAGTAATGAACTCTTACTTGTTTGGTTAGGACAATACAAAGCAGTGATAAGAAAATGGAACTTGGGCCTAACTTAATCCCAAAAACTAGTTATATGGGACTCAATGTCATTGTTTTGGATTAGTTGAAGAATTGAGCTGAAGGAGAGAAATTCAAAACAGTGTTATTCAGTGAAAATTGACTATATTAGTGAATTTTGTTTCTTATTGCGAGTATATAACATGTGCATGTTTAACCTCTTAAGCTTTTAATAAGGCATGATATACTTTATTACCATGTGTCGGATTCATGGTTTTTTTCGAGCTTCAATTTTTTTAGCCCTTCTAAATAAATTAGATAATCTGGAAGTGCATCTGAAGATAATATCCCCGTCCAAAAGGCTTTTCTTTTAAAAATCCCTTCATTGTAGCTTTGCACTATGTTTGTCCTTATGCCATGTTCACGAAAAAAAACTGTTTAGAAAGATCAAGTGTCTGGGAAATGGTTACTTGCGGATTTTGGTGGAAAATTAGGAAGAGTGTGCAAAAGATATGGTAGTCATGGAATTAATCCAGTTTTTGTGCATTAGTGGAATTACGTATGCATAACAACGATGGTGCTCTGTTGATGCATACTTATACAATTTCTACACAAATTAAACTGAAACAAACTGATGCCCTTAAGTGTAATTACATGTATGCATGTTGAGATTGAGATATGTAAATTCATCAATAGTCAAGAATCTCAATCGTGTTTAAGATTTGAACTAAATTTCACAATAGTGGATGCTTGTCAGTTATTCATGTCTTCCTTGTAAGTCATTAACCCAGATTGGGTTTGCATTCTCTAAAATTTGGTCAACTCCCCTTTATGGTTATCTTTGTTTAACATTAAGATGGTTTGTTGAAGTTATTCAATGGGTTATTGCAAAATATTCCAGAATCCATGATGTAGCATTTACTGTTTAATGATGTACGCATAGAAGCCCGAGGTAAGTAGAAAAATTGTATAATTTTCACCTAGCGGAGAAAAATGTAAAACAAAAAGAAAAAGAAAGAGATACAGAAAAAAGAAATTTTAGTCTTATGTAGAGCTTTGGGAGTCGGGTTGATACAACACTCTTATAGTTTCTTGAACTTTGACTTTCCGTGATGCTTAGTGCTGCTATGGCCTTCTTAACATGGCCCGACATTGGCAAAGTTTGGTTGGGGGCAGGACAGGGGATATCTTTAATGTGCCAATGGCAAGCTATACCTTAGTAACTTGTTTCACAGTGTTGATTTTCTTTTTATCTAGCTGCCAAGCAAAATATAAAAGAGACACCTGTAATTAGACTTGTTATTGTTTTCTTCTGATACGGTAAAACTTACCCTCACAAACCCCCAACCCAGGAGACCAAAAGTCTTTTTTCACTTTGTTTCCTTCGTGCGGCAAACCTGCAAGCTTGTGGTTGGAGGTGAGGGTCAGACCACTAGGCTAACAATGAAACGCATACCTTCTTTATGTATTCCCTACAGGGAAGTATCTAATATTGCAGAAGAGCATAACTTCAGCTGCACCCAATATTCGATGACAGCAAAATGACATGTATGATATCTACAAATCTGTTTATTTTTTATAAGTTTCTTAAGTCGTTTCTTGGTAAACCACTTTTTAAACAGGTTTATCTGCAAACCTGTCCAAGAAGTGGAAACCTTCTTTTCTTGTTTGCTTCAAAATTGTCCTGATGTAGGAAGCACGTTGTTTTCGTGTAGTAAACATAAGATTAATTGCTTTTGTGTAACTGGAAAGTCTGCGAGAGTATTGACTATTCGGAGCACAATAAAGGAAAAAAAAAAAAAGACAACATGGGCTACGTGGATGGCTGATGAATATGACAAGTTTCTGAATGGAACAAGTAAACGGAAAAAAATGGAACCTTTGTAACTCTTTTATTCTCATCAAGATTACGGGTATCTTTTCTTCTTCTCTTATTCATGCTCTTCCAGCTTCTTCCTGCTGCAGTTGCTGGAAAACACTGAATAAGGTAAGGAAGGATGGAGCTCCTGTTAGTTGTCTTTGCCCTGAGCTTGCTTCTTTTGATAAGATTTAGCTAACGTCTTTTGCCCCAATTGGCAGTTTGGTAAGCTGAGTCTATTCTGTACTAGGGTTTCAAAGCTTTTACCGTGACACATTAAGAGATTAGAATGGTTACATTACCATAATCCAAGTGTATTTTCCTGGAAATTCTTTGCAATTTGGACAGTCTACTAAAGTAAAAATATTAAGAATTGTATCAAGGTTTGTACATATTTAGCCCTATTAACTCCTACTGTATTTATTGCATTGCTATTTAACAAAGCCTCAATTACTTTCTTAGTTCGATGAGAGTCGGTTTTCTGCGCTTAATGAAGAGAAACTAGAAGAGAAGAATATTAACATAACATGGTCGATTAGGAGTTAACTTTCGTAGTAGTGAAGTAATAGAGGTGGCAAAAACATCGAAATCACATCAAACACCACCACCAACGACAACTACAACAACAACAACAACCCAGTATAATCCCACTAGTGGGGTCTGGGGAGATAGAGCGTACGCAGACCTTACCCCTACTCCTACTTCCCACTCACATTAATTTTTTGGGATAGGTAAGGGTTGCTCTCCAATGCAAGATGCGGTTTTTTGCCATCTTTAGGAAGTAGTAGGAAGATGGTAGTAAGTGGTACCTGGTTGCCATCAGTTGTGAAGTAGCTCAAGTAAGGATTAAGTTGCTATTGGTTTTTGAGTTTGTTTCATAGATACTTGTTAGTGTTGTCAAAGGTTCATTTAAGGCGCACTTAAGTCCTGGAACTTAGAAAATCTCAAGGAGGGTGCTTTGCCTCACTTAAGCTGCGCTTCGGTGTTAGGCAAGGCACCAAGACATGCCCCTTATTGCCCATGAGTTCTATCTTAAATGGAGCAATACTAGACCACAAGTATAATCGGCAACTAAGTGTATTAGTTGTTAAGGAAAACAATATGAATGAATTTGTTACTTTTCTCTTGAATTACATATATATTTTTATTTTTTTCTTGCGTTGCGCCTTTTATATCTAAAGCCTACACTTAAATTGCGCTTTGCCCTTAAAGCCCAAATGGACCTAGAGCGCTTTTTAGAGCTTTTCGCTTTAGACAACACCAATGTTGTCAAAGGCGCGCTTAAGCCCTAAAGCAAGGCTCAAAGCATGTTGAGCGCTTCGCCTCGCTTTGCAGGCGCTTCAGTGTCGCCTCAAGGTTCTAAGGCATATTTTTCCTTGCCAATGAGTGTAATCATGAAAAGGCGATATTGAACAATTGATATTTCACATTATCGATATTTTTTTTGTCCATATATTTGTTATTCATGCTTATAATTATTTGTCTTGGACTACATATACATATTTATACCTTTTCTCCATTTTCGCCTTTTTTCATTAAAGCCCACGCTTATTTGCGCTTTGCGCTTAAAATCCCAACGGGCCTTAGAGCTTTTTTACGCTTTTCGCCTTTGATAACACTGGACAACACCGATACTTGTGTTTGTTCTTATCCCCTTTAACGGTATAGATACTCACCATTTATATGATACTACTAGTATTCACATGATGCGAAATGGTACCTTCAGAATTTGCCTGGACAATTCTTTTGCTCCTAATATTACCATAATATATAATATAATATAATACTTTATCGGTTTTTTTTTCTTGATAAGTAATACACATACTTATTACAGGGTTCGTTTTATTCATATTTTGATTGTCTAAGCATCAAGGGAAGTTCGTATTTTGGAAGATGGAATGATACTTTGACAGATAGGTTTCAGCCCTATTCCCTTTGATCCTGTAGCTAGATGTTGGATTATTGCTGGTAATCCTTTTTATCTTTATTTAAAACACTTCCACTGGCTCTTGTAAGTGGTCTTTGTACTGTTCTCAACCAATCAAAATTTTTGACACACCCAAACAAATGTGAGTGCTTAGTTAAATTTAATATTGCTGAAAAAAGGAAAATAAGTTTTCATCAGATAAACATTTCATTAACTTCAAAGAAATTGCCTCGTTGTACAAAGATAACAAATGGTATTGGTAAAGGACTTATATTTCCCTGTATACAGTTTGCTCATTTTGTAGTTTCATTTTTTTGTGGTCTTAAGAGGTACTGTCATATAATGAAGAGTGGATAGTGATGAAGCTTATAGCCTATAGGTTAAGATTTTAGAAATGGCTTTGCTTTCATGGGGAAGGTTCTATGGCTGGATTGTGGATGAGCAATGCTATCATGGTCCAATTTGGGAAGTTCTTAAGTTCACAATTGCATGTCTCAGGAATTTGGAATGAGGCATTTTCGATATGGATATGGTTGGTTATTTGTGAGAAAAACATTTGACAATGTGTCTGCATTTATTTGTTAAGGTTCTTCCTTCTTTGTGCTACTTTTTCTATTGAAGAACTCAAATAATGATTTTAATGTGATATTCGGTCTATCCGCAGATGGAAATGCACTTTCTGCCTGGCTTCTTATGTGAGCGTGCCTCTTTGTCCAAGTAATGGAGACAATATAAGATCCTTTCAATTGTATGTTTAGGTCATAATGTGCTATTTTTCTCAAAACTTCATGGTAATTGGACTTCTGCGGTGGAGAATAGGTTCACAGTTTGCTGCAGCCTGCACCAAGCAGTAACAGATGCGACCCATTACTTCAGGGTCCTGCCAAATGGTTTGCTGGTTAATGGTGCCCCTCCCTCCCTTTAAAGCAGTCATCCTTTAACACCATCTGTTATCTCATGGAGATCACTGATGCAAACATGCATTTGGGCTATTGCTTCTTGTCTAGGTGCTCTCAGATTTCTCCCCAATGATAGGCTTTTCTTCATAAATCAACTTACGTTTGGATTTGACTATAGTGTTGCTCACTATGCACTTTGGTGTGTGCACTAAAGTCTAGGATTGATCCCTTTACCTTGTATTGATATTTGTAATCTTGGCCATTGGTACGAACTATGTCATTTACTTTCTTGATGATGTAGAATCTGACCCAGCTCTGGGGCATAAGCTATTTAACTCAGGTTGGAGTGATCGATATTTGATGGTTCCTTTCAGTATGAAAATGGTTATAACGGACAATGAGTTTTCTCACAGAGGGAACTGGGTCCACTTTTCGTTCCCTCATGATATAAATTACAGGATTGATGTTTTTTAGTCATTGAGAAGGAAAGAAGATAAAGGAAGTGGGGAAATGGTTCCTTTTTTTCTGGTAGTTTTATTTTTTTCCATAATTTTTTGGGCGCGGGGGCTAGTGAGGTCATTTGATTTTCTATGCCATAATTTGTTGGGAGAGGCAGTTTTTAGAATCAAGGATGATATAACTTGAATAAGTTGTGTAGATGGATAGCTTGGGAGCTAAGTTGAGTTACCTATTGGTTTATTTTTGACATTATTATCCTTTTCGGCTAATTTTGTATCCTATATGATTTCTTTGGTCAAAATTCCTTTTTATCTAAGAAACTGATACCTTCAGATCAATTAATTTAGTACTATAGTGTTTTTAGCCCTGTTATATGTTTATTACATGTGTAATTCGACTAGGCATAATTAACCTTCAATTAATATGAATGTGTGATCGCTCAAACTAGTGGAAGTTAAAAACTTAAAGGGATCATTAATTAAAAATATATACGAAAAGAGAAAAAATATATAAAAATAAAATGAAGTGTGGAGCTACGATTTAAGCCTAAATGCTTGAAGGGTCATTGACTCAAGGTAAAAATAGGAGGTGCTTTACCAACTTCCATCGTCATCTTCTTGCTAGAGGTCGAGTGAGGCGTAGATGTAAGTCCGGAAATTGATGGAGCAAGAAGACAAAGTCTAAATGAATGTAGATTTTGAAGAAAACTCCCATAAAACAGGGGGAAACGGAGAGAGATAGATACTTTTTTGGACCAATTTAATTATGATTTGCATTGGAGCGGATGAGTTAATGATGATGACAATCTCATCATCACCGGCGCCGGTCAACGGCGCTTAGCCTTGCGAACAACTTTAATTAGTTTGAAGGATTAAAATTACATGTTCCTATTTACTGAAGGTTGATTATACATAATCGAATTACACATGAATCAAAACTGGAATAAACCTATAACACAACTATAACAAACAACGACAACCCAGTAGTAATCCCACTAGAGGGGTCTGGGGAGGGCAGAGTGTACGCAGACCTTGCCCCTATCATGGAGGGTAGAGAGGGCATTTCCGGAAGACCCTCGGCTCAAAGACAAAAGATTTGTAACAACAACGAAACCAGACAAATAATATCAGTATTGTAAGCAACAACAAATAAGTGGAAGGACAATAATTATGGTAATAATAAAAATTGAAAATAAAAATAAAAAAGTGTGATGGAACAGAAATCGACAGCAGTCCTATACAAAATACTATCAGACTAGCAACAACGAGGAAAAAACGCTCAACTACAACTAACCTACAACTCTAATGTTCGACCTCTACATATCCTCGGAAATCTAAAGCTGCGCCATGTCCTGCCTGATCACTTCGCCCCAATACTTCTTAGGCAGCCATATACCTCTCCTCGTACCTGTCAAAGCCAATCGTTCACACCTCCTAACCGGGACATCTAGGCTCCTCCTCCGCACATGCCCGAACCATCTAAGCCTCGCTTTCTGCATCTTGCCGCCTATGGGAGCCACGCCGACCTTCTCCGAATATCTTCATTCCAAATCTTATCCAGCCTAGTGTGCCCGCACATCCATCTCAACATCCTCATTTCGGCTACTTTCATCTTCTGGATATGAGAATTCTTGATTGGCCAACACTCAGCCCAATACAGCATGGCCGATCTAACCACCGCTCTATAGAACTTACCTTTAAGTTTCAGTGGCACCTTCTTGTCACACATGACTCCAGACGCTAACCTCTATTTCATCCACCCCACACCGATACGGTGCGTGACATCCTCGTCGATTTTTCAATCTACTTGGATAATAGACCCTAGGTACTTGAAACTCTCTCTCTTAGGGATGACTTGCGAGTCAAGTCTCACCTCCACGTCCGCTTCCCCCGACACATCGCTGAACTTACACTCCAAATATTCCGTCTTGGTCCTACTCAACTTGAAACCTTTAGACTCCACGATTTGCCTCCATACCTCCAGTCTCTCATTAACGCCGCATCTCGTCTCATCAATGAGAACTATATCATCAGCGAATAACATACACCATGGCACCTTCCCTTGAATGTGGTGTGTCAATGCGTCCATCACCAGGTCAAATAAGAACGGGCTAAGCGCAGATCCTTGGTGTAACCCCATAACCACCGGAAAAGGCTCCGAGTCACCTCCCATAGTCCTAACCCGAGTCTTAGCTCCATCATATAAATCCTTTATCACCCTAATATAAGCTACCGGCACACCTTTCACCTATAGGCGTAACTTTGCCTCGCCGAAAATGGGGAGGGGAATACCACGAAAAACTTTGATATCAGAATGATGAGATTAAAGAAGCAGAAGGAAGCTGTTCCAGAATAGTGATTGCAATAATCCCAAAAGGGTTAGTGATTTGAGCAAAAACCACAACACCAAAGGCGCAAGTAACGCCGGTTGACAAATTGCCGAGACAAAGAGCGCATCAACCCAACATAGGAGATTTGGCCAGCGCTTCCCTTTCGTGCTGAGGGAAGTAAAAGCCTAGCAAGTAGTGGAATTACGCCCGTAACCATGCGGAGCAAGATAATACAGACAAAAGCACCAAAGGGGCAAAACCTTAAATAGGGACAACTGAATGAAATAGTAACAAGAATGGTGGCACACAAAAGGAAATTGCAATTGGAGCAAAGGCAACTACAAGCTGAGTAGGGGGACAAAGAGGAAAGGAATGAGCTAATGTGTTTGAAGGGAACAAAATGGCAGGTAAAGGTATGATCTCAATTTTTTTCCCCCAAAAATTGTTGAGGGCATGGCATGAAATAGTGGAATTGGATCGTGAAGATGTAGCTACTGGAAATGATAGGTGGAAATTAGCTATCATCCTATACATGGTAGGGCGAACTCCAACCATTGGAACAATAGAAAAGATTCATAGCTGCACATGGGTATGTTTCGATCAAGTCACAGGCCTATCTGTATAATGATGACTATTTCGTGATCATATTCAGTTGTGATGAGGATATGGACGTGATTATGTGTTTGGGGCCTCATAACTTGAACAACATACCAGTTATGATTAAACCATGGACTTCGAAATTCAATTTCAATGATGAAGTTTTGAAGAATCATTGATCATATTCAGTTGTGATGAGGATATGGACGTGAATGTGTTAATTGACACAAGTTATCTACATTCTAAGCAAAATAGGAAGCAGTTTGGAACAGCCAATCTATGTAGATGAATGTACTATTCAAAGTAGTAGGATAATTTTGGTGGAAGTTGATGCAGGATAGGATAAGAGTTTGATGCAGAATCAAAATTGGAATGAGGATTGGCAGGAAGTAAAGGGCATGTCTACGGCAAAAAAAAAAAAAAAAAAAAACACTTAGATACCAGAGAATAATAAGTTGGAAGCTATGGTTAATGGACTCAATGTACTGGTAGAACAAGGAAAGTCAATTCATGAGAATTGAAATCCAACTGACCCACGTGCAATGCAATGTAGTACAAGTGGAGGAAAAGAGGGTGGTAAAAAAAAATCTCTCCAACCCTTACATATCACGATGATTGTGAGAGGTTTTAATAAAGTATTTAAGTACAAGGAGATGAATGTATTTGTTAGGGGGAATAAACTAAGTTTTATAGCAATAATTGAGCATAGAGTTCAAAATATAAAAGCTAAAAAGATCACCAATACACTTCTACCTAGATGGTGTTGGTTTACAAATGACTCAAATACAACTAGGGGAAGGATATGGGTGGCCTGGAATCCTAATAGTGTTCAGTTCAATGCTATAGTATTTCATATATGGTAATTTCCAAATACTAAGTACCAGCAGGCTTTCATTTTCACAGTTGAGTATAGACTACATACAGTATTTGATAGGCTAGACTTCTGGAATACCTTGAGGGAAGTGGAAGACCAAGTGCGCTGTCCATGGATGATTTCAACATAATTTTAGATCTGGATGACAGGGTCAATGGGAGTGCAGTACATAAAATGAAGTTAAAGACTGCCGAATTCATGGAGGATTATAAGATGACATAATTACCAACTATAGGCAGCGGTTATACATGGACCAATGACATGTCTATAGAAGGATAGATAAAGCAATTGTAAATGCATACTGGATAACAAATATGCCTCCCCCACATGTGCAGGTGATGGACCCCTACTTCTCGGATCATTCTCCTCTTAGCCTTGAGATTGACTTACTGTTGGATATTGGGTTTGGGTCGTGGGTCGCCCATATGAACTGACCCGACCTGTTTTTAAAGGAGATATGATTAAGGGAAGTTACCTAGAGAAGGTTTAACTCCTAAAATAAAATTATCGCACGTTGAAAAGTAAGGGGGAGCATGGGGATCAACGTGGCTGAGTTTCACGGTAGTTTTTTTTTCTTCTCTGACAACTTCCCTTCTCTATATAATCAATGCTCCCATTCTTCAGAAATATATACTCTGAGAAATCCTCCCCACAAAGATAGAAACACACTAAAAGCAAGAAAAGAAGGTATTTAGTTCGTGAACAAGAATTTCGTTTCCAAGAGAGACAAAATCGAATTCGGGCAATTGATTGGAACAGATTCCGCAAAAATCTTCCGCTGTTGTTAACATGTACACAAATTTGATATCCCTGTTACTCGATTTTAGTCAACAATGGTATCACACCCTACGTTGTTTGCTCCTAATTGTTGCCCCATATTCTGGAAATTTACAATGGTAATGTTCCCGTTATTACAAGTTATCCCAAACCTGTATCATGGTTAAATAACACAATCACCGGGTACTGGTAAACAAAAATTATTGGTATCTTTTATCAAATCCATAGAAACTGAATCTTTGAACTTTAGGAACCGGTCATTGAAACAAATTATTAGTCGAGTTAACAACTTTCAGAAATTCTTGATTCACCAAAAGTCG